TAAGGCTCTTAGCTCTGATCTCTTGGCTTTCTTCTTTGCATTGGTTCTGTGTTTCTTATTTAGTAAGACGGTTGGTTACATCTACAGGGATTAAAGGCATGTGACTTCCAAATACTGGGATTAATGGTGTGTGCCACCAAGCCTGGCTTTGTGTCTCACCTAGACTGAGTCAATCTCATGTAGTCCAGGGTGGCTTTAAACTCACAGAGATCCAGATGGATCTCTGCCTCCCAAGTGCTAGGATTAAAGGTGTGTGCCACCACTGCCTGGCCTCTATGTTTAATCTAGTGGCTTGTTCTGTTCTCTGATCTTCAGGCAAATTTTATTAGGGTACACAATATATCACCACAGCCCAAAGAGTCCTTCAGGGGTGGGTTCTGAGTGGTGCCACCTCTCCTCTTAAGAGGAGACATTGATGTAAGAATGGGGACTGATGATGGACTTGTTTGTTTCTTTATTCAAATAAGATATAGTTCACCACCACCCCCAACACACACACACAAATACACTCACATCTGTTCTTCTAAGTTGTGCCATTTGGGAGCTTTTAGAATATTCAAAAAGTTGGGCTGTCATTTTCATTTTGCAAACCATTGGTACAAAGCCATGCATCCCAAACATTTTCTTTACCTCTTAAGGAGACCCTATGCATCTTAGCAGTCACCCCTCATACCCACATCCTGAGAGGAGAAGATGTTGAGTAAATTCAGTGCCTTAAACTGAACTTGCCTCAGGAATATCAAATTAGAGATATCGGTGGGGTCTCCAAGGGCAACATCTGGATGTGGAGATTGAGGGAGATGTCTGTGCTGGAAATGAAACTTCCAGAATCACCTATCAGTGGGAGGTGATGGTAAACACAGAATAAAAGACAGGATGAGATCTCTAGGCTCTGAAAGAGGGTGACATTCAAGTCTGAGCAGACACAGAGAACTGCGGTTTGTGTTGTGCTACAAGCACTTCGTCACAAGCCAGCTGCTTGCTGATACCCACATGGAACTTGCTGTCTAGAGAAGGCCACATCTCTACAGCCATCATTTCCCAGACTGATCAGAGTGAAGGGGGCAGTTATTCACAACCTCCAGCCATCATCTGTGAGTTACCTGTTACACTCCATATCAGAGTTCACTAGATGGATAGGAACAATAGAATGCATATCACAAAGGAGAGTCATTTAATGGTTATACACGATGTGAGTTGATCAATGGCTATCTGCACACTGCAGAGACTGAGACTCCAATATCTGCTCCGTCCATGGGGCTGGGTATCTCAACATCCCAATTTGATGCTGAAGGCCTGGCAGATTTCTGGAGAGCCATTAGTTTTCAATCTACACCGAAAAACCTAAGAATCTGGGTTCTGATGTCAGCAATGAGCAACACCAGCAGCAGCAACAGAGAAGATTGAAGAAGTGAAGGCAGGCAGCCAGGCTTTCCCCTCAGAACTCTTTGATCTGGGCTACAGCCTCCAGGTGCTGCCTCTTCTAGGGAGGGGAGTCTTCCCCTCTTCAGTTAATTCTTCCTGGAAATCCCACCACAGACCCAGCCATAGGCACTTCTCTTAGTTCATTCCAGATCCAAACAAGTTGACAACCAAGACACATTCATTAAAGAAAATGTAAAAATATCAGATCCCATTTTTCTTTTCTTAGTGGTAGGATTTTAAACCCCCAAGGACATGGTCAGATCTCATTTCTCTTCCTGTTCTCAGTTGGCCACAGTACTTATGTGCCAGGAACAGAACTTAAATGTCTGCTGATGGAGGAGGAAAAGGCTTTACTGATTCACTGATCCTCATATTCATTTGTTGTTGAGTGTGGCCGATGTTCCCTGGGGAGACATAACACACATGTACTCACCCCAGAAAGGGATCCTGGACAGAGCAAAGTAAGGGTTGCATCAAAGTTCAATTTGGCAAAGTAATGAGTTTTTACTGGGGTTCCTAACAGGGGTATGGGGGAGGGGTTTTGTACAGGAGCAGGGATGACTCAGAGTAGCAGCTACATCGCTGAAAAGCTCATCCCAACAGGGTGATAACTCTGTGCACGTGGAGGCCAGAAGAGGGCATCAGATCTACTAGGGTTGATGGTACAGGCAGTTGTGAGTCACAATGTAGGTGCTGAGAACCAAACTCCAATCCTCTGCAAGAACAGTAAATACTCTTAGCTGCTGAGCGATCTAAATTTCAGCCAGTTTGTGTGACTATAAATGAAAAAGATGGATTTTTGACAATGGAATTTGACATATGTCATCCACAAACGCAATATCTGGCAAACTTCTGCAAAAGTCAGCTGAGGCATCTAATGTAATTCAGGTGTCACTGAGGCTAGCATCCCACTAAAATGTAGCATTAGGGCTGGCGGGGCATATTCTGGTACTTCATGAACATTTGCCTTGGAATTAAAACCTGATGCATGCAGCCAGTTTGCTGTATGTATTAATCAGCTCCCAAAACATGCCCCAGAGTGATTTTTAGTACATACACAGGGTAGCTCTTTAACTTCCCACTCAATTTTAATGCAGCTTCTCCAAATATTTTTTTGAAAAATGCCTTTCTCAGCCCTAAATACACTTCCTAAGTCATTCACAGCTGGAATATAAAAGACAATTAGAACAAATTTATTAGATGGCTCACCTCTACTGTTTGTGAAACATTTAAATGAATGTGTAGCTAGAGAAATGAAAACCCCCAGTGAGCAGCCAAGAAGAGCAGCAAGCTGGCTGAGAGGCGAGGCAGAAGATGCTACTTGGAAAAGCATTTTCAAAACTTTAGCCGAGCCCTTGTCGACAAAGGATACGGAGTTGAAGAGGGGGAGGGAACTGAGGGCTAAAATGAGTTCAAACATATTTGCGTGAGAAATGGGGAGTGCTGGGACTGAAAAGCAGGGTCTGATAAAGCTGTGAGGAGGCAATGTGGGAAAAGGCTCTGCTCCGCTTCATACAGACGTCTCCCTTCAGGTCCCCATGATGTGGGCTTTGCCGACAAATGCCTATCATGACTCCTGCACATACCAGGGACAATTCCTTGTATTCTTTATTCTCTCTCTCAGGGAGTGATGTGCTGTAGGGGAGGGCAGCCCTTAGGGAGCCACTTCACGCAGCAAAGCTGATCCTGGAGTCAGTGAGTGATAGCACACATCCCTGGAAGGATGGGTCTGGATAGGAGCTCAGCCCTTCCTAAGACTGATGGGGAGAATGAATAAATCACTGTCTCTGTAAAGTACATAGATGAGAGTCTGTGAAAAGTAAATGTTCGCTTTACATTAACTTTTAAAAAGTATTTTAGAGCCGGGCGGTGGTGGCGCACGCCTTTAATCCCAGCACTCGGGAGGCAGAGCCAGGCGGATCTCTGTGAGTTCGAGGCCAGCCTGGGCTACCAAGTGAGTTCCAGGAAAGGCGCAAAGCTACACAGAGAAACCCTGTCTCGAAAAACCAAAAAAAAAAAGTATTTTAGGACCATTTAGCTCAGCAGGCAACGATGTCTGCCCTCCAAACCTAATGACCTAAGTATGGGGCCCGATGGTAGAAGTAGCCCTACAACCTCCACATGAGCGCTCTAATAAATAAATAAATAAATGTAATAAATGTAATAAAAGATTCTAAAACCATCTCTATTAATTCTTTGAGAATTTTATACACTGTATTTTTGTCTATATTAAGATAGTGTACTGATAGAAATTAGTAAGCAAAGTCCCTGTTATGATGATTCTGGGAAAAAAACAAAGTGAAAGTAATTAGGCAGGTGATTTCTTTTTGTAAAACGGTTGTCTAAGAAGCACACTCACCAAAATGCCCTCTGTCGTTTATCCCTGTCCTAGGTGGCGATTGTGTCTCATCACATTGGTGGGGACTCAACTTCAAAATCTGATGCAATTGTCTAGTTGGCACAGAAGGGAAAAGGAAGGTTCTGGAAGTGCAGGTTCTTGTCAGGCTGACTGCCTTTGACAGAACAAAAACATTTCTCACAGTTACCAGTCTGTAATTTTCTGATCCAAACTGATTTCATGTGGTCAGCTGCTGATGTGTCTTATCATCGTCCTACAGTCCTACTGCAAGTTTCTGGCTGGATCCACGTCTCTCTTGTCTTACGTAAACTGTTTTCTTTGGGGGCATCACACTGAAATTGCATATTTGCTCCCATGCTTTGGTCACTGATTCCATCACTGCTCACAGTTTGAAGCCCTCAACAGCAGAGACTGAATTTACCAGGTGGAAATACTTTAAGATAATCACAGGGCAGTTTGTGACCCCCAGACCCTCCCATATATAAGTGACTAATTTCTATAGCTTGCTAATGGCATACTTAAAAAATTAAGATTATCTGTGAGCCTAGTAAGTAAAAATATCTAAATACACTCCATCCCACCTTCAAAAGTTGTCATGGTGACCTGCTTTTGTGAGAAGGAATTTCAGGTATTGGACATTGGAATTTTCTGGATTTTCCCAGTAAATAAAACAAGGTCAAGACTTTTTAATGACTGACTCTCAGACTCAAACTTCACCAAATGCAAACACTTAGATGAAAAATTGTATGATATTCATGTATATAGAAATCACTGGATACCATGAAGAGTGGGTAGGAAAAGCATGTGAGTTATGCTGGCAAAGAACCTACAATATACTTGAGATAATAGATTTTATATATATATATATATATATATATATATATATATATATATATAATGTATGTGTATATATATGTATGTATGTATATATGTGTAGGTATATATATGACAGATGATATATAGATAGATGATAGACATAGATAGATAGATAGATAGATAGATAGATAGATAGATAGATAGGACAGATGATAATAGACAACTTGGTAGCTTGATGATAGATGATATATTGGAAGTATAGATAAAGAGATGATAGATAGAAAATTGATAGATACATAATAGAGAGATGATAGAGAGATGCTGGATAAGCAGGTGATAGATTTCCAGAGTCTACAGTGGAAAGATTATGTACCATACATGCCTTCTTCCTCTCCACTAGTTCTATTCCGTGCCTGTTGGTTGGCAGCTCTCTTCTCAACACTGAAGCTCGTAAGGACCTTGTCAGAAGTCTCCAGGTAATGCCTACTTAGAACTCATCAAGTGCTTAAAGGGAAACTCGACACACTTGGAGTTGCTCACACTTCTTTCCAATTTTTACACATCAATCCCAACAAGAGCAGAACAAATTGCACGTGTAAGCAGGCCATGAGGCTCCTTTCTGGAGTGTTCTCCCTTGCCTCTTCCTCTGACTGGCATATGGCTTTCTGTTCATTCCTATTTAATTTTGTTTCTTGAGACAGGGTCTTACTATGTATTCCTGGCTGGTGTGGAACGGTGTAGTCCAGGCTGGCTCCAAACTCCTGATCCTGCCTGAGTTTCTCAAGTACTGGGACAGCAGTGTGTGATCTCATACCCAGTTCATCCTTTCTTCAGTCTTCCCTTTCCCATGGGAAACAGTTTTGTTTGGTGCTTCTCTGTAAAATGAATTTCCTCTCACTGGATTGTGATCAAGCATTTGCTTCCTGCAGCAAGATGCACATTTTTGGACACTGAACCTGGAGTTTATCTTATATTTTATTTTATTTATTTATTTTTTTTATTTTGCAATACAATTCAGTTCTACATATCAGCCACGGATTCCCTTGTTCTCCCCCCTCCCGTCCCCCTCACCTTCCCCCTACCCCCCCCCCCCATTCCCATCTCCTCCAGGGCAAAGCCTTCCCCACAGACTGAGATCAACCTGGTAGACTCAGTCCAGGTAGGTCCAGTCCCCTCCTCCCAGGCCGAGCCAAGCAATCCTGCATAGGCCCCAGGTTTCAAACAGCCAACTCTGGAAACAACCTAGATGCCCTTCAACTGAAGAATGGATAAACAAAATGTGGTACATATACACAATGGAATACTACTCAGCAGAGAAAAACAATGACATCATGAGGTTTGCAGACAAATGGATGGATCTAGAAAAAATCATCCTGAGTGAGGTAACCCAGACTCAGAAAGACAAACATGGTATGTACTCACTCATAGCAGGATACTAGATGTGGAACAAGGATGACTTGTCTGCTACTCACATCACCAGAGAGGCTACCTGGAAAACAGGACCCCAAGAAAGACACGGGGATCGCCCAATGACAGAGAAATGGAATGAGATCTACATGAACATCCTGGACATGAGTGGGGGTAGTGAAAGGCAAGGGTCGAGGGAAAGAGAGCTTGGGGGAGTGGGAGATCCCAGCTGGATCAACAATATCTTATATTTTATATGTAAGGTTTCTCAGATCACTAAGTATGAAGTCATTTCTCCTTAACTATTGTCAAAGTGACACAGAACACAGAGCAACATTTTATAGAAGATTCGGTTGAGATGGACGTTGAATGAATAACTGTACACTAATTTTTGTAGTTTTTAATCCCCTTTGCTCTTAAATCTTGTTGATTCTGGCCTGTATCAAAAATCTAGCTTTCTCCTCTCTGCTAAGTAGTTCAACTGATGTTATGGCCATTTTGATAAACAAAGGCCCTTTCTAGCAGGGAATGCATCTCATATGAAGGAGACTTCCAACGTGGCCCAAACCCAGACCATGCCTTTTTGCTGTTATCCCAGCTATTGTTACAATAACTCAGGATTTATGATTTATGAATCTCTTTTCATGTTCAAATTTCTGATGATGTATTCATAAGAAATCCTTACCACCATCATTCTCATACTTTGAAATAAATAAGCATAACTATTTTTTTAAAGATGGAAATATGTTCTGGGTGACAGACACCTAACTCAGAATGGCAGCTTTGGGATTCCCCAGCCCAGGATTGATTCCATAGTGTTGAAAATTTGCCTATTGTGATACAAGGCCATGTGGCTAAAATGTTTCATAATCATTTGTACTTCTGAACAAATTCCTACTGTGTTTCCAAGTGTGTGAATTAATGCTCATGTTAGGTATCTCGGCAAAGTAACTGGACACTTTTTCCCTAAGTAAAGGCACTGAAGAAAGAAGAAAGCCAAGCATACATGGAATATGAAAACATACACTATCTGAAAAAAAATGGCCTTAAAATTTCAGAGTCTTCTCTTTGAAGCCTGCTGAATAGATATGCACCAAAGATGCGTGTGTGTGTGTGTGTGTGTGTGTGTGTGTGTGTGTGTGTGTCTGTCTGTGTGTGTCTGTCTGTGTGTCTGTGTGTGTGTGTGTGTGAAATGAGATCTCAGTTAGTAAGGGCTGTAGGCTACAAATGGATCAGAAGAAGCAGAAAGCCAGGATACCTTTTTCTCCTGGATCTTTTTTTGGTCCCTTGATGGAGCCTGTTCCCACCCAGTTAGTGACAAGTGTTGAAATGGATGAAAAAGAAAGAAAGCTCCCTCCCCTCTCCCTCCTCCTTTCTCTCTCTCATATAAATATGTGAACCCCCAAATAATAACAGCAGACAGCCTTGTGTCTCTTGCATTTCCCTTTTCCTTAGATGTACCTTGCCCCAGTACGCATAATCCCAGGAACTTGCAGTGTTCTAGCAGTAATGAGGAAAAGGGGAGGGAAAGAAAGCATGATGCCTTCTCATTGTTAGAGTCGAATGCTGCAAAGCCAGCTATTGAGTTAGCATTTGCTGCTGTTCATTAGTCAGAGGATGCTTGGACCTCAAACCTAAGGTTTCCTACATGCATACTCTGAGAAGGCTGGAGGATGAACATAGTAAGGGTAGACAGCTCATGATAATGGAACATTTTGCATTGTCTGGGTGATGCCTGGTGGATATGTTTTAAAACCTAAGCTGTTTTTTTTTCTTCCTTCTCTGCCTAGAGCTTGTATTATGAATTTCTGTTAGTCATGAAAGATAACCAAATATTTTAAAATAAATAATATTTTCATGACATCAACCTTGGAGTGTCAGCATGAGAAAAGAAGTTTGAGTTTGGAAAGCTAAAACGTAAGAAATAGAGTAGTGAAGAGCAGTGGGGAAATGCTACAGTACACAGAAAGGAAGATGGTGGCCATAGCAGAGCTTGGTACAGGGCACAGTAGGGCAGGTGTCACACTCAGGTCAGGACTCAGAGGCAGGAGTGTGGCAGCTACTTCCTGAACATGTTTGAACTTGGCACACCTGCTCAGATCATATTCTAGCTACAGTCTGAACTGTAGGCAGGTATGTGGTGGACTCTGAAACCCAGTCCAAGGGGCTGGAGAGAGGTGCCTTAGCAGTTAAGCGTACTTAATGGTCTTCTAGAGGATGAGAGTTCAGTTCCCAGTATTCACATGGTGTCTAACAACCACCTGTAACTCCAGCCCCAGGGGATCTGATACCCTTTTTTTGCCTCTGTGGGTACCTTTGCAAATGTATACACACACACACACACACACACACACACACACACACACACACACACACACACACACGAAATCCAACCCTACAGAGACTGAATAAAGATAGACCAAGCAAGAAGGTAGTCCAACAAGTAGAGTATGGTAGTACAGAGTGAAAGGTTTCTGCCCAGAGGGTGTCGAGTACTGAGTGTTATGATTCTTGGCATGACAGTAGGAAATCCAGAGATGAAGTTTCCTTGTGATGCAGAGAGAAGGCCAGTAGAGGCTAAATCCACTCCTGATTATATGGAAAGTCTTGATCTTCATCAGATCCTCACATGTCTCCTGCAGAGTCAGCTAAGAATATAACCTCAACAGACATTCAGCATACACATAACACAACTATGGAAGTGCTTGGGAGGCAGCACAAGATTCGCACATACAGAGAAATGTTATCGTTGTCTCTAGCTACAACGTACTTCACGACATTAACTTGAGCAAGTACTTCGTACATTTGAGGAAGATCTAGAAAACCCTGCTAAATTCAGTAGGAAGGAGACCCCAGAACGGTTTTTCCTCCTTTACAGAGCCTGATTTTTCACTATCTTGTTTGAAAACATCACTGTCTGTTTTCCAAGGAGTATGCGCTTCCTTCTCTCAACAAGATCCGAAAACAATAAGGCATATTATTTGCCCAATATCAAGTTATTTTTATGTATTAATATTTGATAATAAAGACAAGTTGAAATTTAATATTTTAATTTGTGAAAGACTATTTTCTGGAGCAGAGAGACCTTTGCCATTTACCAAGCAATTTATCAAAGCATCCACTAGATCTGAAATATGCATATTTTTAAGATGCTTAAGGGTCATGTTTCCTTAAACAAAATATAAATATATATGTTAATATAAAACATGTTGATATGAGATGTGTATACTATTATAAAATACTGTCAATACCATATCAATTTAATTGCATTAAGCACAAAGGTAGCTTTGTAGAGTAGTTCTTAAAAAATTAATTGATTCATGATTATAGAATAACTATATGGTTAACAGAAGCCACAACCAACCTGCTAATTTTTCTTAAGTGAAGAACTGTTAGGGTTCAAAATAGTATAGTTCAACTATTTTAAAGGATGATAAAATGTCTTGAATTTATAGAAATTTGCTGGATTTCCTAACTCAAATTGCTAAATGCTCACAATCTCATTTTATAATGATATGTCCTTTCATTAAAAAAGCTCTAGGGGCTGGACAAATGGCTCCGTGGTTACAAGCACTTCCTGCTCTTCCAGAGGATCTGAGTTCAGTTCCCAGCACCTATGTCAGATGGCTCACAACTGCCTGTAACTCCAGGTACAGGGCATCTGATGTTTCTAACCTCTGAAGGCACCTTCATTCATATACACAATACACACTCAGATACTCACACCTATAGATAATTAAAAGTAATAAAAATATAAATCTTTAAAAAAGAAATTTAAATGTTATAGGGAGTGAGGCAATTGGAGGAATGAAATAGAAAGTGTCAGTATATAAAATGGTGTTTGTTGAACAATAACAAACTGCGTGCACATCTGTCTATCTGCCTGTCCATCTCACTAGCTTTTTAAAGGGCACACCCTCAAGCCAATGAGCGTATGATACAAGATAGATACAAAAGAAAGAAAAACCTAAAAGAAACACAATCACTGGGCAAGTTAAAGCCGCTTTCAGACACGGTTGCGTCTAGAATTACACCCTTAGCATTAACTACTCTGCTAAATGTAATTTCTGAGCAGCTTGGCTATGCTGGGACCAATAATGTTTCGGCAGATGTTAACAGTGAGGGAATTTAAAGATTACAGAGTTTCATGGGTGCAGTAAAGCTGCAGTGGGAACAGAAATATTACCGTAGCTGTTATGTTCCGAGTGCATCACAGTTACTGACAAGTGATACATGAGTGATAGTGAGGACCAGGGGAATGGGACTTTACACTTACTGGTCAGCAGCATATAAATCCCATAAATTAAACAAAGTTATATGTATTCCTCATTTCTTTGCAGACTGATCTTCCTCAGAGGGCCTTTGTTTCATGTTAATTCCACCATCAAAGCTTTGTTCAACCATACTGTTCTCTTTAAGCCAGGTATAGCTTCATTCCAGGCTTCCTGCTACACATCTATCCCCATTAGTTTTGAATCTTGGTGTGATCTCCAGGTGGAACTTTGCTGGTACCTCCATGTGTTTTACGACAGACTCCATCAGACTTACCACTTTTTATATAAATCCCTCCTAGGCCACCTTATTTGTCCCTTTAATGGTCTAAAAGGAACACTTCTATAATCTCTGAAATGTAGATAAGTGAAAACTTAGCTACATGCCATCACCCTTCCTGGGAGGAGTCTGAACAGGGTGTTCACTGTCCGTGAGAACAAGTGAGAATGGGCACAGTGTCCCTTATATCCTTAAGCATGAATGCCAGCTCTTGCAATGGGATAGTAAGCCATGGGAAAACAATAGTTCCCAATGGACTGAACATCTTCTGTCCAGTTCACCATAAGTTTCCACAACAGAACTGCAGTCAGATTATGAGACCTTGGGAAGCAGGAATGAAATTGTGTGAGTGTGTGTGTGTGGGGGGGTGGGGGGTGGAGATGGCTCATCAGTTAAGAGCACATATTAGTGTTGCAGATTTGACTCTTAACACCCACACTGGGAGATTCATAACTGCTTGTTAACTGATGTTTCTGGCCTCTAAGTGCACCTGCTCTTATGAGCACACACACACACACACACACACACACACACACACACACACACACACACACGTACACACACACACACACGTACACGCACACACACAGAGGCACAATTAAAAATTTACAAAGTAGAGTTGTGCTTTTATTTGCTCATTCAATCTAACAAAATCAAAATGTAGGTTATATTAAAGCTAGAAGTTCTGATGAACCAATAGTGGGTTACTTATAATAGCCATAAAGTTATTCATGTATAAATACATCTTCCTCTAATCATGTAGACACAAGAAAAAAACTTTATGTATCTGGATGCCCAGCCTATTATACCACCCAACACTAAGACTACAGTGCTGTTGATTTCTAAGTGATGTGTAACATGGAAGTATTTCTACTTAGCAGCCTGGGGTGATCCATGAAACCTTGCTCTCTACCTTCTCCCAGACTTACTTGATTCATCTGGAAGTATCTCTTGTTACTTAGGGAGGTCTACTGGCTTGAGGGTGTGGGTTATTTTCTATCTTGCTTGTCCCTGTCACCGTGGACTTTTCAGGGCTTTGTGCTAGCCACGCTTCCATCATCTCCGCTTCCCCCCAGCTGGGGTCATCGACGCCCTACCACACCCAGCATTTTTATGTGTATACTGGGGATCCATTTGAACTCAGGCCTCCATGCACTTTCCTGACTGAGCCATCGACCCCCAGTCCCTACAAAACAATTGCATTGGCATCACTTTCGGACACATGTAGGCAGACCCCTGTGGGCCTGTGAATGTGGCTGCAGATTTTTCTGGCATGGAGTCATTCCTGCATAGACGCTTGAGGCAGATCTTACTTTGAACACGTTCCTACACCACTGTAGGGTATAGAAAGAGCAGACGTCATGCACTGATGAAATCTAAGTAGGGAAAGCAGTTTTAATTTTCTTGCTGGTGCTATTATCTTTTAAGTCCTAATAATCTCGCTCGTGCTTGGGCCGTGAGCCTATAAATCTGTCCACATTCAATGAGCAATCCAGGAGAAGTTTCCCTTGGCCGTGTGAGGCCCTGATAAACACAAACAATACAGTTCTAGCCACTGCTTATTAAGAAGGGAGACACCCCCACGGCCCGACACTGCAATCCTTTTTATTTTGATGGTACTATTTCACTGTCTATCGTAAACCTAGCGAGGCGGGCTTTCTCTACCCTGCTCGCCTTTTATTGGCTATAAATCACCCCTGACAGGAAGGTTTATGCCCAAATCCGTTTACTCCTTGTTGGTAGTCTTTAAATTAATATTTATAAGCTGGAAGAGGCCTAAAAGGGTGCAGCAGTATAATAGCTAAATGCCCCAGTTGGGCTTGAACTGATCCCCACCTCTTCGACCATTGACATCTCTTAATTACTCTCATTCCTAGCGTCTATCGTCAATGTCATCCTTGTGCCCACAAATCACAAGCTTTGGTGGAATTGAAGTGGGGCAAAATAGGGGTTCAGAGATGTTTAGCCTCTGTTCCATGTGTAGTTACTGTTACCATTATTGTTGTTGTTATTGTTATTATTGTGCCTCCCCCCCACACCCCATACCCTGTGACATGTCACAACTCAGGTGTGGAGGTCATTGCCTTCCACTTTGTTTGAGACAAGGTCTCTTTGTTGAGTAGGTGTACGTTCCTGGCCTTCTAGCTTCTGGGGAGTCTGATCTCCACCTCCCCATTTCTCTGTGGGAGCACTAGCATTACAGATCCCCACCCCACCCCCGCACCCACCCAACTGTGTCTGGCTTTATACAGGTTCTAGATCCAGAATTCAGGTCCTCACACTCAAGCCCTTTACCCACCATGCAATCTCCCTCTCCCCACAGTTGATTTTTGAACGGTTTTAGTATGCAACGATGGGGTCCGGGGAAAGGAATGAGAGTTACAAAGGAGTTAAGCAGTGGTTGAAAACAATGGCTTAGGAATCATTCAGACTGAAAACATGTCCTGATGGACCTTTGTAAATTCCATACTGAAGCACATGTCTTAAAATTACCTCCAAATTCAAAGTTACCTAAAGTGAGTGGATGGATTTTTAACTCAAAGCATTAACCTCAGCCACAGAACAGGCCTTGCTGGGTCCAAGACTCCATTCTCTGTGGCTGATCCCTCTTAGCTGCCTCTGCTATTGTGGCCTCTTTCTGCTCACTGAGGAGCATGCTAGCCAAGTGATGCCACAGGGTGGACCGAGCCCCATGGCCTGGGTAGTGAATGGTCTCAGTCAATCAAGGGTTAGGCATGGAGATGTGCCATGATTTTTGGAAAGGTGGAAAGGGGGAAGCAGAAGACATGGCTTCTGGGAAACGCTTCCTTGTGTTCAAGAGCACCACCAAAAAAATGGTCCTCTGCTCAGGGTTTCACCAGGAACGGACGTGGCCTTCCCGCTGCTATCAGAGGAGCCCAAGCTGAGGTCATATCCGATTCTCAGAAAAGGGCAGAGTCAAGGAAGTTAGGAAGGCAGAGCTGGCGCTCCAACTGTGACTTCTTGTTTCCTAGATGATAATGCTCTTTATTGGGTGCGCCAACTAGTCGGTTTTCAGATGTTTGTATCCAAAGACCACACTCCTCCTTAAAGTCGCTTGTGACCTCTGATTCCTGAAGCAGGGTCCAGAGGTGACACCAGTCTGTCCCTTTGTTTTCCTTATTGTGCTCAGGGTCCGGCTTTCTTTGCCACCAAGCTCACGGACACCCCTGCACTTACTTCCAGATTCTGTAGCACTGACTCCCACCGCCTCTGGAGTCTTCTCACTTTCTTTGTCTTTGTAAATGGGCTCCTCCTCCCCCACCCTCACTTTAGTGTGGTTTCAGTTGGAGGCTGAAATAAACAGGTGTGTTTATATAATAGATCTTCTTTTATTACTTCTTTGACTTGGAAAGCACAGGAACTAAATCTGCTAAGTAATATGCACCATCCTTCTGGAGAATGCTGCTTTCTGTCAAATGCAAACTGTGATGTGGAATAATGAGATTGGCTTTTCATGGGGCTCTAAAGCAATGGAAAAAAATTAGTGTCACCGTTTTTTGAGCAATAGCCGCTTGCTTGGGATAGGCCTCTAACCTCCAAGGGGACTATGTGGTAGGGAACAACATTGCTTAATATACTTTAATTTTGGTTGACTGTAAAAATTGAGTTTGCACTTGGTGGATAATAGTTCAGAATTGTCTGTCGATCCTTTACTTTCATTTGTCTGTCAGTGAAATTCCTGGCTCCACCAAGAATTCTCCAACATTAGATGGTGTTTGGATCACCTCTGTTAAAACCAACCAGGAAAGCCAGCTGTGGTGGCACATGCCTGGATTCTACCACTTGGAAGGCTGGGGTGGGTTAAGTAGGCTGAACACTTACTTCAAGGCTATCCTGGGCTATGTAGCAAGGTACTATCTAAAACAAACAAACAAAATCCCTAAAACCAATCCAATTTAAAACTTGGGAAATCAGTTAAAAGTCATGGTCTCAAGTCCCAGCCTAAGTCAACAAAGTCTGAATACCTAGGAGGTTTCAGCCCAGATTTGTATTTTTCATAAGAATCTCAGGTGATCTTTTTAAGCTGATGTACACCCTGATTCAACTCATGGATTACCGTTTTTCTATGATTTTTAAAAGTGCAGTTTAGTTTATGAGGCTCAGAAGGGCACACATAGAAGCTTCCATAGTATATTTCTAAATGTTTAGAATTAAAAAAATTCAACCTAACATGATTAAAATAATGTGTTCCATCCCTCTGTCTTCACAGGATCCCTTCCTAACAGCTTGGAAGGACAGTCTTAAATGTGGCTGTCACTCTCTGGCCTAGATGTTCCACCTCCTCACTGGCATGTGTGGAGCCCCACTTCTGGCCTCCAGTCTGATCCTCGTCCCTTCCTAAATCACCATGAGGAAAGGATGTGTGAGAGCTACTTTCCTGTTACTGTCAAAAAATACCAGGACCAAAAGCAACTTAGAGGAGAACGGGGTTTACTTTAGCACATGGTTCCAGAGAGATCGAGTCTGTCACGGTGGAAAGCCATGGTGGCAGTCAGGGAAAGCATGGCTGCAGGGGCAGGAAGCTGGCTGATCACATTTTCATCCGTGCACACACAGAAGCAGAGAGAACAGGAAGTAGAGCAAAGCTATGAAACCTCAAAGCCAGCCTACAAAGACATACTTCCTCCTGCAAGACTGCACCTCCTAAAGGTTCTACCCCACAAACAATGACATCTACTGGGGACCAAGTGTTCACATACATAAGCCTCTGGGGTCATTTCTCAGTCAAACTCCAAAGGATGCTTCAGCCCTTGCACACATTCTCTGTGTCTGTAGGCTCCCTCAGCACCCTGCAGACCCAATATTCGTCTGTGTTCCAGTTTACCCTCAGGAAGTCAAAACTTAGGAGACGTTCTGCGTAGGTTCTGAAAATGGATTTGACTCCTGACCTCATCTGGGCAGAGAACTGTTTTCATCACTTAGCCCATGGCTAAGCAGGAGAGTTGTGGACAGTGTCTCACCCAGGGTGAGGTAGCCAGATAAAAACTAAAGGAGGAGGCTCTAGCTTAAACTAAATGAATTAGCATGCCGGAGAACTCCTAATATGAGTAGGGAAGAGAGAAAACAATAGCAATGGAACCAGTCAGGGAAACATCAAGAAAATTATAAGAGCTCAGCAAATCCCTCAAGGTAAATAGTCTTAGTTCCTCGATGAAGAAACACAGACTAGTGGGTTGGATTTAAAACAAGATTCAATTCTCTGTTGTTTGGGAGGAACATGCCTCATTGGTGAAACCATACGCAGAGGCTGAAGCAAAAAAAAAAAAAAAAAAAAAAAAGTAGTCAATTTACCAAGTAAACAGAGGCCCCAAACAAGCAAAGAGCTATATTTATATTTGCCAAAGTTAGCTGGAAAGAGAAAAAAGTCACTACCTTACTACTAAAGGGAACAATCTGTGAAGGTGATAGAATGATTCTAAATGTATGTGCACAGGAAATTAGTGCACGTATCATTTTAAAAAGGTACTGGACACAAAGGGACAGATGAGACCACTTATAACAATAAAGGTGACATCAGTACCCTACTATCCTTTTGTAGACATCATCCAGAGGAAAAAAAAAATCAACAAAGAAATTTCAGAGTTCAAGTTTACCACAGGCCAAGTGCACTTAACATAGATCTACAGAATACTCCATTGAACAGCTACAGAACACATTCTTCTTGGCAGCCATGGAACTGTCTCTAAAATCGGCCACATTTTATGCCATGAAATAATAACAAATACAAAAGAATCAAAATACTCTGTTGCATCATGTGAGGTCATAGTGGAGTAAGACACAAACCAGCTACATGAGTAGGAAGTCCATAAGTATGCAGAGCTTGAACCACATACTCTGGCTAATCAGTGGGTCATTCAGGGGATCAGAAAAGGAATCTAAAAGTTCCTAGAATCAAATGAAAGGGAAAGTACTAGCACTAATCAGAACTTTGGGAGATAAATCAACTCAAGGAGGAAAGTTGATATCTATGTGTGCTTACATTTAAAAAGTCAGATGTCTTTTTATAAATAATTTAATGGTGCATCTTATGATCTTGGAAAATCAGAACAAGCCAAACCCAAAACAGTAGAAGGAAAAAAATAAGAAAGAACAGGCAGAAATGAATGACACTAAACGTAGTGTATGAAGACTCCTGAGTTAGAGTTGGCTTTTGAATGGTAAGCTAGGTCAACCACCCTTTATACAAACTAAACAAAAGTAAAAATTAACAGAGAAAAATTAAGAAGAGCAAAATCAACAGAGTTAGAGATGAAAAAGGAATCAGTACAATAGATACCAAGAGAACTCAGAGACTCAATAGGGAACAGTTTGAAAACCTGCTTTCCAAAAAAACCTGCAAAATCTAGAAGTGGAGAAATTTCTAGATAATAGAGGATATGAATGACCCACACAGACCTACAACAGAGAAGGCTGAAGCAGTAATAGTCACGCAACAAAGAAAAGTCAAGAAACAGTTTGTTCATGCTGCATTCTACCCGAACTTTTAAAAGGAGCTAGCCTAGTGTCCCCTAACTGTTCCACAGAAAGGGAACCAACAGTATTGAACTTGGTCCATGAGAGGAGTGTTATCCTCATACCTAAACCAAGAAAGAACACACTCAAGGAACAGAAAGGAAAAAAAGAAAGGAAGAAAGGAAGAAAAAAAGGAAGGAAGGAAGGAAAGAAAGAAGGAAACTGTAGACTAATATTCCTGGTGATCATCATGAAAATATTCTCAAGAAAATATGACAACCAAATTCAGAAGCACACTAGAATGATATGTCATGATAAAATAGGTTTCATTCCAGGAATGCAAGGATGCTTGCAGATTTGTAAATCAATGAATGTAACAGCATATAAATAGAGTCAAGGATAGAAATCACATGAACATCTCAATAAATGCAGAAAAGGCCTTTGACAAAGTTCAACATTCCTTCATGATAAGAGCTAGGGAAAGCAGGAATAGAAAGAACCCAATACAGGAAGGGTAGATCTAACCAACACTACATTAAACAGGGAAAAGCGGAAAGAATTCCTTCAGAAATAGGTATAAGATAAGTGTATTCACTCATTGAATATAGAGCCGGAAGTCTTGGCTAGATGAATTAGGCAAGAGAAGAAACAAAGCCAGGTCAATCATGGAAGAGATACAAACAGGAGAAGGAGAATTATCCCTTCTTACAGATGGTGATCCTGTACTTAAAAGATCATATGTAGATGGGCAGTGGTGGCACACGCCTTTAATCCTAGCACTTGGGAGGCAGAGGCAGGCGGATCTCTGTGAGTTTGAGGCCAGCCTGGTCTACAAAGAGAGTTCCAGGGCAGCCAGAACTGTTACACAGAGAAACCCTGTCTCAAAAAACCAAAACCAAACAAACAAAACAACCAACCAAGCAACCATAGGTAGTAAGTAAAGTAGCAGAATATAAAGTAAAAAATAAAATAGCTTTTGATATACCAATAATCAACTGGATAAGAAAGAAATGAAGGCAAAACCTCACTAATAACAGCTTCCAAACCAGCTAAAACCCCACAGGAATAAACCTCAGCAAGGAGGTAAAAATTCTCTATAGTGGAAACTTGGAAATCCTCAAGAAAGAGATTGAAGAAGACACTGGATGATAGACTCCCAGCTGCTTGTTTAGGAGAACTAACTGTGTGGCAATGACCACATCACTGAAAACAGTCCAGATTCAACACAGTCCCCTCAAAATTCCAGCAGTACTCTTCATGGAACTGGAAAAAATAATCCCCCAAATAATATGGAGGCCTCAGAGACCTCAAGTAGGCACAACTGTAGTTGATCTAAAGAATACAATATCAGAGATATGACAGTCTCTGACCTCAAATTATGTCACAGAGTCACAGCAACAAAAGCAGCAAGGAACAAGCATAAAACTAGATACAGGACCAATAGAGTGGGATAAAGGGTCTGAAGTAAACACACAAAGCCACAGCTTCATAATCTTTGACACAATTATCAAAAACATATACTAGAGAAATAGCCTCTCACCAAAGGTGCTGGGAAAAACATATTTCCACATGCAGGAGAATGACACTTACGTGTCAACCTTCACAAAATGGATCTTCCTGTAAGATGTGATACTCTGAAACCACCAGGGAAAAACACCACAGTGTCTAGGAACTGGTGGAGGCTCTCTAGAAAAGCTCACCACAGTGATGTGAATACTTGCAAAGGTGACAAGTGGCATCATATGAAACCAGAAGGTTCTGCGCAGAGGGCAACCATCAGCTAAGGAAGAAACAGCCTGTACACAGGGGAAACCTCCCCAAACACACATTTTACATGGGGTTGATATCTAAAATCTACAAAGAACTCAAAAAATTAAAGCCATACAGTCAATAGACTGTACAGACAGTTATCAAAAGGCAAAACACAAATGGACAATACATATTTTTTTCAAAGGGTTCCAGGTCCTTAGCCACCAGGGAAAAGCAAATTAAAAGTGCTTTGAGACTCCATCTCGCCCCATCAGAATGACTGGCATCAGGAAAATAAAATGCTCATGATGATGTGGGGGAAGATGAACCCTACTACACTTCCACTGGGCGTTCAGACCAGCAAACAGCATGGAGATTCCTCAACAGACTGAAAGGAAAACCACGATATGACTCAGGTCTATCACTCCAGGTAAATGACCAACAACTGGGCCAGCTTTGCTCAGAGCTATTGCACCCCTTGTTACTGTGCACTACTCACAATAGCCAAGATAATGGAAGCAGCCTAGATGTCCATCAGCAGATGAATGGACAAAGAAGATGTGGTCCATGTACACAACAGGTCTTCAGCCTTCAGGAAGATTGAAATGACGTCTTCTGCAGGTAAATGGGTGGAATAGGAGAGCTAATTGGTCTCTCTTGTGTTAGCCCGGCTAAGAAAGACAAGTATCTCATGTTTTGTCACATAGAGGCTATATTTTATAAATGTGATATTATGGGCTGGAGAGATGGCTCAGTGGGTAAATGCATGCCACACAAACCTGATGATCCAAGTTCAATCCTCAAAACCCATGTAATGGTGGAAAAAGAGAACTGACTCCACAAAGTTGCCTTCTGACCTTTGAAAGCATGCTGGGTGCACCTGCCTTTACACATCACAAACACAAATAATAATATTTTTTCATTAAAAAGATAAAAATATTATATGAAAATGAAAAGAGGAAAGAAAGGTCCTCAAAGGGAGGGTCGGGGAACAAGAGAGGATAATGGGGCAGAAAAGAATGACAAATATTGTCTTGTTTCAGATGTGTAATCTAGATTTAAATACATACATACGTATATGCACACATACATGAAATAGAAAGGGGACAAGTTGGTGGAGAAAGGGAACCAGGTTGTGGGGGGCAAGGAAGGATAGAATATGGTAGTGAGAGGGAATATTAGTTGAATACAATGCAATATAAATATGAAAATATCATGATTAAAACTCATTATTTTATATGTACATTTAAAAAAACAATTAAAATAATGTAAAATGCCTTGGTCATTAAGGAGCACAAAGCATGGGTGAGTTTCCCAAAGTCTCACAGCTTCTAAATGCTGAATTTAAGTTCAGACCCCTTGGACGCCACTACTTCATGCTGGCTTTCCATCCAAAGTCCCTACCATATAAAAGGTGTTAGTACCATCGATTTAAGAGCAGGCCATAGGAAGACACTTTAGACACCCTGTCCCTGTCAAAGAGCAGCCCTGTCCTGTCACTGGTGAGATTTTCCAGATGTGATTGCTACAGCTGCAAATTCGGCCACTGTCTTGACCTCTCAGCTTTTGGGCTCTCTGATGAACTTGGCACTGTCTTAACCAAGACAATTTCCAATTTCTTCGTGAGTATTTGAGGAATGCACAAGTCCATTTCTACCACTGTCCTTCCTTCGTTACAAATGCTGTGAAACCTGCATGGCTAAAAGCATCTTCTCCCTTCTGCTGTGAGTTTGGTTATCAGATCTTATTATTATCTCAACCCTGTACTTTGCAGGGCCAACAATGCATCAAGACTGAGGCCAGACTTGTAACTCCTCTTAGCACTGATACCAGCACTGGGCAAATCAGAGCCAGTCCATGAATGTCAGGGAGCTGTAAAACACATGATTGTGAAATGGTTCTCTCAGCCACCTTTTATAGACAGAAGCTGCCCACCACAAGATGTATAGGCTTAATAAATCAATGGGAAGGAATTCCAAAATGGATAAATCAATACCCAAGCAGTCAGAGAATCCTACAGGTGTATGACAATGACCCATCAGGGCCTTTAAACCTCAGCTGGTAGGTTTAGCCAAAAGGGTCTATAATGATAGATGAGCCGAGATGATAAATACCTCTGTGGTGGAAGTTTGTATTGTCTGCACTTTCTCCATTACCCTTCACACAACAGCAGTATAAACTGACTCCTTTTAAACCAAAGAACAGATCTGCAAGAGAATCGGATTGTAAATCCACACACCTGGGGACAATCTCAGAGGAATTGGGTCATTTACATAAATGGTTTCAGGTGTGACTAGTCGACATAATTAGAGTGCTTACTGTTTGCGTTCTGCAGATGTGCAAGCATGCAGTGGCTGTTGGTGGGAGTGGATATTAGTCTCTCCCTTCTGAAGTATATTATGGATACATATATAAAATTACTAATAGCCTTCCGTTGGCTATTTTACTTTTGAGAAGGTAACCTCAGGGAGTAATGCAACATTAATATAGGTTTTGATATTATTTATAATACAATATAGAAACAGAAAACATTCATTTCTAGGAGAGTGGTTTAAATTGCATGTTCATAAAATTATACTAAAATGCATATGGTAAAAAAAGATATTGCCAAGTAAACTTAATGGTTTAAGAAAACCTTTAGGGGGTTGGAGAGATGGCTGAGTGGTTAAGAGCACTCGCTACTTTTGCAGAGAACCTTGGTTCAGTTTCCAGCACCCATCCACCTTGTTACTCAAACCACTCTAGTTCCAGGGGATCCAGCACCCTCTACTGGCCTGCCCAGGATCCTGCATGTACATGGTGCATATAAACTCACACAGGTGCATGCATGCACTCACACATGTACACATGTAGGATTTGCTGAAGGAGGTGGAGGCAGGAGGATCACGAGTTTGAGGCCAGCCTGGACTCCACTAATTTCTTGTTAGTTTCAGAGAATCTATCTTATAGACAAACTCTAGTGTATTTTTAAAATATTTTTAAAATTCCATTTTATGTGTGTGAGTGCTTTGTTTACACGTATATAACTGCACAATACACATGGCTGGTGCCTGTGGAGGCCAGAAGTGGACATGAGAACACCAGGCACTGGAGTTGCTCGTAGTTGTGAGTATGTGGTATCGGTGCTGGAAACCAAACATCGATCCTCTGCAAGAGCAGTCAGTGCTCTCAACCACTAGCTAGCTCCTTAGCCCTTCCAACATATTTTTGAAAGTTATACACAATAATAGTTAATCACGGTATTTATTAATATGGAAAAACAGAAACTCCCCAAATATCTGAGATTAAAATGATTAGGAAACTAGGTAGACTAAGACTATTATAATGATATAATAAAATATTAGGAAGGAACTAAGATAAATTTTGTGAAATTTCACAATATGAAAATTACAAATAAGTCTTAAAGTATTATTGTATGTGTTTTAAATATTCATAACTAAATGATAATTACTCTAAAATATTGTGGGGTTTTTGTTGTTGTTGTTGTTTTTTGGTTTTTCGAGACAGGGTTTCTCTGTGCTGCTTTGTGCCTTTCCTGGAATTCACTTTGTAGCCCAGGCTGGCCTCGAACTCACAGAGATCTGCCTGGCTCTGCCTCCCGAGTGCTGGGATTAAAGGCGTGCGCCACCACCGCCCGGCTTAAAATATTGTGTTTTAATGTTTAATAATACTTCTTCACTCCCTCCTCCTCCTCTCCTTTACCATCCTCCTTCCTCCTCGGTCTCCTCCTCTCCGTTGCTGGGGTTACAATCCAAGGCCTTGTGTACAAGGCAAGTACTCCACCACCTAGAGACACTTCCGGCTTCCATTTCTTAAAATATTTGCTTTATTTTTCAAATGTTCTGTTGCATAACATTTTTAGCTAGATACTGATAAGTGAAATCTATTATATCCTTTCAAAGCCTTTCTTTACATCTTGGTCCATTGTCTGGCAACATCTTCCTTAGATAAACCACACTGAAAATTTACTTCCAATGTTGTATATTTCATTCAGATTTACAAAGACTTAACCATGTTGTAATGTTGTTTGGATGGGTGTGAAATACCATGAGGTCTTTTATCACTTCAGGGTCTCCTTTCCCACTATCTTTTCTTTTCTTGTTCAACATTTTACCAGCTTAGCTTCCTAGGAAATAACCCTTGCTTCTTACTGGCATTTGCTTAGCTGTTGTAACAACCAAGTTGTAGCTAGAATAGTAGCTAGTCTAACTTGCATCACCCAGACTTGAGAACAGAAACAATTAATTCTTGATCAGCATGCCACTCATGAGTCTTGGAGGGCCAGAAATTCTCAGGCATGGCAGGAAGTAGCCCACTGGGGTAGGATGACTGTGCACAGTCAGTTTACAAGCAAATGAAGGAGCACTAAGTAATTCTGCCTCTGGGGTGCTTAGGGAGTGCTGAGTCCCCGTGGATGCTCTGGACACAGAGATGACAAATTCATGCGTTGCACAATTAGCTTGAACAGCTGACAACCTTGGCGAGCTGGAGCACTTTTCTCCCATGACCTAGCAGTATAGGCTTGAGAACCACAGGGGATGTTTTGAATTTAAAAACGAAATTGCAAACACGTGAGAAGATGTTCAAGCTCGCCAGACATTTAGAAAATGCAAATTAAGACTCAATTAAACAAGATACCACCACATTACTTTTAACAGGACTTTAGGCAGAAAATTCTGGCTTGCTCCTCAGATGGTGGCTTTTTACCTTTCACTGGATCTGAAGAAGCTGCTGCCTTTACATTTTGAAGGGCAAAGGTGTGAGATTCCAGACAACCAACAAAAGACATGACTTGGGTCTACCAAGCTCAGAAATAACCAGCTCATGTGCAGGAGGCTCCCACATTATGCAACCATCCTAGTTAGCCTTAACTGTCAACTTGACACAGCCCACAGTCACCGGAGAGTGAAGTATCAATGGAGGGAGATTGCCCACATCAGATTGATCTGGAGTATAGCTCTGGGGGGGGTGTCTTTCTTGTTAGCTGATACAGGAGCAGCTAGCTCACCACGGGCTGCAGCGCTCTGGGGGCATGTGGTTCTGGGAAGTGATGCATAAGAAAACTAGCTAAGCAGGAGCCTTTAAGAGAGCCAGCAAGCAGTGTTCCCCAATGGTTTTGGCTTCAAGTTTCTGATTGAGTTCCTACCCTGACCTCCTTCAATGATGGACTGTGACCTGGAAGTGTAAGATGAATACATCGTTTTTCCCCCTAAATTGCTTTTGGTCGGAGTGTGTTATGACAATAACAGAAATGGAACTAGTAAACAGGCTTCCTGATAGAGCCACTAACAAGACAACTGAGCCTACAAAAAGGTCTCTGAGCCTTTCTCTCTAAAGCCCATGGTAAAGTTCGCAGTATATTGAGACTTGGGGAAAAACATATTAAGCTTGAAATACTGTATCTCAGCTGTATTCTAACAAGGAAGATTGAGCAGGTGACAAGCTGTCAAAAATTATGTGAACTCAACTTACTGTAATGAAACCCGGAAATTTCCCTAGGTGCCTGAGTCACGGTGTTACGGCATAAAGAATGCTGACGTGAGGCAGAATGCTTCAGCATTGCCATTTGGATCCCAAAGATATTCCAGCCCATTGGATCCAAAATTGAGGGCATAGAAAATATGTGTGATTTGGCAACAGCTGATCCCGGAGGAGATGAGACTGAGCATGCTCTGTAGGGTGAACTTGAAGTCTTTGACAATCTGAAGGCACCGAGGTCTGATCACTCCAGGACAGAGGGGAGCCAAGATGCCTTGAGCAGCAGCAAGCATTCTCACCCAGCGAGGCTTCTCCCCAGACCCAGTATTTCCACACCGGAGCCCTTTAGAATTATCTGATCCACAGTAGCCTAAGCTAGTGACTTTATCCCCAAAGTATTCTACTTAGAAGTTTGTTTTGAGGGAGAATCTTTAAAATATTCTCCTTCCTGGCGAATTCTGGAGCTAACTTTTTAAATAATATTTTTCAAATCCTGTTGCTCTATTAAGTGAGGTTTCCTTGAATTTAATGAATTGTTTAGAGTGCTATCAGGGTTTAAATAGCAAATTATTCTATATTGTTAATATTTTTAGGAGAAGAGGTATTTACACATGAGTGGAAGAAAATATATGACCATATTTATATTTAGGTTCCTTTAAGTTTTATCTAATTTCCTATAAACTTTTCAAAATAGTTTTCAAAAAAACACTTCTTTCAATTTTTGAGGTTATAATTACAGTTCTCCCTTCCTTTTCCTCCCTTATACCTTCCTGTGCCCTTTTTCAAATTCTTGGCCTCTTTTTCTTTTTGTTTTTCCTGTCTCTGTGTCTCTCTCTGTGTCTCTGTGTGTGTGTGTGTGTCTCTCTCTCTCTCTGTCACACACACACACACACACACACACACACACACACACACACACTCTCCTAAATACATAAATACAACCTTCTGGGTCTGTGTAATGTTACTTGTATGTATGCATGTTTTCAGGGCTGGCTGGGGAAGGCTTTTCCTCTCACTCTCAGCATTCCTTAGCTCCTATAGTTCTCTGTGTAGACCTGAGGCCTCCTGGCTTCTCCAGATGCCCGTGTTAGCATATCTATTGTTAACACAGTTCTGCTTATGTTGGCATTGAGTAGAAGGGAGCTTTAGTTTCATGTAGAAATGGGTTCAGGAGAGTGGACGGTGGCTCTGTGGCCAACAAACTTGCTATATAAGCATGGATTCAAGAGTCTGGCACCCCAGAACACACAGAGAAGCCAGGCAGGCATAGGACCTAGCAGTAATCCCAGGACTTGGAAAACAGAGGTAAGGCTTTCTTGGGGTAGCTAGCTAGCTAAACTAGGGGGATTGGTGTACCCTGGTTTCAGTGTGAGACTCTGTCTCAATCATTAAGAGTGAAGATTGATCATATCAATGATATACACACATACACAGAAAAAAATGGATATAGGGAAAGTCACTTTTAACAAAGAGAATGCCAACTCAGGTTTAGAACTGAACTACTTTTTCTTATTACCTGATGATTAACAAACACTGTCACCATGGCATGCTGGGAGTATGTTTTACAAACCTCTTACTACCTTAACCCAGAAAAGCATACTGATAAAGACTTCAGTGAGTTTAAGGTTTGCCATCTTCCAACTTCAGCTGGACTCATGCTTCACTTCTGCCCTACTTAAAAAGCAAGGTTTACTTAACAAATTAATAGTATAAATAGGGCAGTGAGCATGCTTAAACCACTCTGAACACTATTTTAAAAGGCTTTAGCAAATTAATTTTATGCAAATGATATTGCTAATGCAAGTGCCACTAATCTGTTCATTAAAGCCAGAGGGAGCAAACTTTATTTTGGCAATTAGTTGAAGTTACTATATGTATTAAAAAAAAGCACCAAAGTTGCATTTCTTTTAAAGTGTACATGTAGACTTTTCTCTGGTTGGGACTTTCCCATATCACATGGTGTGGAATCAGGAGCTTATATCTTTTGCCTGTCTGTGGTCTCACAGGTGCCTTCACCTCAGGGTACATAGACGTGGTTGGCTCTCCCAGTCAGTGAGACATAAGAGCAGCTCCTCCTCTGGCTGGAGCAATCCGGTTGCCCTCTGTGTGAGGGGGGGCAGGGACATTGCCCTGGCTGGTCTTCAGAGGTAGAGAAGATCTGCCATTATGTAATAGGACAATGATGTGCCCTGATCCATTATTAAATGTCAGGCTTCTATTGCCGTCGGCTTCTCTCTGTGTGTTCCAGAGACGCCATGTTGTCTGATAGACTTCGGAAGGAGAGACGTTGCAGGTGGCGACTATCGATGTGACCTTTCCGATTATCTCCACAACTCTGAGTGCATTTAAAGGGAGCAGGCTGACATTTGTGGTTATGATCATTCATAGTCTCGTCATCCGCCCATTGATCTGAGACACCAGTCACATCACTGTCTTGAAGCCCAGTGACAAATGTTGCCATCTGACTGACAAGTGAAAGCTCAAGTGAATTTTGCCATTTATTATTATAATTATTGTTGAGTCAATTTTCTTTTTCCCAATTATGGGGCTCTAGTGTAGTGAGCTGTCAAAAGAATGACATGGCACCTAATGTCGTGATAAGCTACAGGAAAGAATTTGATGTAAACAAAGGTGTCTTTGGCTCCCATGTGCTTCCTACCCCATTTTCCCCACAAAATCCTCTTTTTAAAAAATAAATGTAAACCAGTATGTATTTTTGAGTAGGTCTCCATTATACCATGTATTCTTTTTATCATTCTTTTTTTTATTCCCATATGTGTTTATTTTTTCATTATTGTGTAATTAATGACCCTAAGCATAGCAGCTTTAAACAAAAATGTATTTCTTCATTGGGACATGGTTTTCTGTATCCCATGCCTGATCCTCCCAGGTGCTGGGATTACAGATGTGCACCATCATACCCAGTTTATCCAGTGCCAAGGGTGGAACTGAGGGTTTCACACATGCCAGGCAAGCTTTCTACCATCTGGGCTTAGCACTCAGTTTTATAGTCAGAAATCCTGGTGTAATTCACCACATGCCTCAGCAACCATGCTGTCTGTCCAGGGTCTCCCACAAGACTGGGCTTAACGTGTTGGTGGGGCCACAATACTTTCAATGTTCAAATGGAGTATGACCCACTTCCATGTTCACTCACACAGAGGTTGACAGATCTTCAGTCATTGCTGGTTGTTGGATGCTACATGGACCATTCCATAGAGCCACTCACAATGTGGAATCTGCCTCCCTTAGAATAAGATAATGAGAGAGAATGCTCAAAATGGAAAATACAGTTCCTATAAATTAATCTCAAAGGTGCTCTTCCTAGCTTTTGTTAGAAGTAAATTACCACATCCAGCTTCCACTCAAAGGAAGAGGATACCAAAGCATCGACTAGCTGACTAACAGGAGGCAGGAGTCACCTAGCACCATCTTGGGGATTGTTCAGTACGCTAAGAGAGGATGCAACAGGCATTGTGTTCCTCGGGTACTTAAGAGAATCTGCAGCTAATAGTTATTACATGCATCCTGTCATTCTGAGACTCTCTAGATCCTTAAGCTTGTTCATCTGTAGGTACATCATTGGTTCCTCAGGGTGCTAGAGACAAACACTGCCGTCTCAGAAGGACTGATGCAAGCACATTCCACAGCTAAGCCTTTACTGCAGTGCTTCTCAATGTTCTTTATGCTGTGACCTTTTAATACAGTTCCTCATGCTATGGAGACCCCCAACCATAAAATTATTTTGCTGCTACTTCATAACTGTAATTTTGCTACTGCTATAAATCGTAATGTAAATATCTGATATGCAAACCCTGTGGTGGTCGTGACCCATAGGTTGAGAATCACTGCTTTAGAGCCAGTCCCAAATCTCTCAAGTTCTTTAGTTTGCTCTTCAGAGTCAGGTGGGGCTCATGTTTGTTAACAACTGAGTTCGTTATTAACTATCTCCATCATTTTGTTCATTTTTATTAACATCTAACATTCATTTTTGTTTTTATCTGTTGCACTGAAATAAGGCTACCTGCTTCATAGAACATTTTCAAGATAAAAATAGATTATTTGGGCCGGGCGGTGGTGGCGCACGCCTTTAATCCCAGCACTCGGGAGGCAGAGCCAGGTGGATCTCTGTGAGTTCGAGGCCAGCCTGGGCTACCAAGCGAGTCCCAGGAAAGGCGCAAAGCTACACAGAGAAACCCTGTCTCGAAAAACGAAAAAAAAAAAAAAGATTATTTGTGTAAAAATACATAATATACACCTATTAGCTTATAACCACAAACAACAATTCATCTATTATATAAGACACATTTATGTATATATCTGCTTGTGAAATAATATATGCGATATATTTTTCTATACTCACTTATGGAAAAGGAATAGACAGAAATGTTAATATTGTCTTTGATCAAAGATTTTCTAAATTACAAACAATTACTTAGGGAATTGTTACTGTTTGAGATTAGGGTCAAGTCTTTAAAGATATTCCATACCCTATTGGTATGAATTTTAAATTTCCTTTGCTAAGTTCTTCCCTCAAAGTCAAGGACATATGTTGTATCACTCAGCCTGGAGTGTGGAAGACAGTATACGAATGGATCAGATAAATGTGGGGTGGGGTTGGGCTATGGACAAGAAAGTGGCGGGATGGGAGATTCATCTTCACTGTGGTTTGCTTACTTCTGTCTCTCCATGAGAGACATCTGAGTTCAATAGCAGGCATTAAATATTACTGCCATTGAGACAGAAAGCAGATGGCCTGCCTCACTTCATGCATGTCCTCAGATCTACCTCAGACTGCTGCTCTCCTGGATTCAACTATCCTGGTCTTCACTGAGTCCATGATATTTCCTCTCTTCATTGTGGAATCTGCTATCCCAGTATCCCAGCCATCCTAAAGGCCAGACACACACATCACGGAAAGGGAATGAGGTCTGGAACCGGTGAGGGCAACATCTCTTCCCTGTCTGCATACACCCTTTGTAAGGCTAGGAATTTCCTAAAGATACTTTGTCCCAGAGACATCTCAACCAAACTTTGGACAAAATGGATTTCATCAGGCAACTGATCTGAAAACGAGAGCTTGGCTGGTGTTAGACGATTTCACACCTCCAAGTGTGATGAGATTAAGCTTCCCTGTATCTTTGTCATAAGCTGTTTTTGTTGTCATTGTTTGTTCGTTTGCTTTTAAAGAAGAATGGTATGAAGCCTCCACAGACTTAGGGACAAAAGACGACGTGTATTCTAAATTGAGAGTTGAACTCTGAGTGCTGTCTTTTCCCATGGCTGTGGCTGTGTTGCTAATTAGGTATGTTTAGCTGACATCAATAAAGCAACTCCTATGTGAAAATCATCAGCCTAAATACTTCCACCTTATTTTTTCACACACACCCATTCTATAATGTATTCTATTTTTATATTCAGTGGATGAGCTTTAGGAGACTGAATGATGTGCCCAGGGGCATGGAGACCATACTTCTCTCAACCAAGAACAGATCTCACTCCTCTGGTCCCCAGTGTATCACACATTGACAGGCACACTTCCCCATATGTTTAATACGTTCCTATGGAATAGATATCTTCCTGGTGACATTGGTTCTTCATCTTCCAGAGGAGTCCTTTCAAGGGTCTTAATGTTCTGCAGGTGAGCTGCAAGAAGTTCTATTTTAAAATTTAAATCCTCTGCCAATTTCCTTCCCCAAATTGCCTACCATTAGAACCATGGAATTAGCATTCAAGGATGAAGTGTTCTCTGGGATTGAAGCTGGTCATGGCTGGGAAAGGGAGGTACCAACTGTGAACTGACCCTCCTAACAGGAGATGGGAATTTTGTGCATAGCTGATGTTGCAGTGAATTCCGAGTTTGCATTTTAGCCAGTCATTCAAGCTGTTTTGCAAATTAATTTGTTTCTGAGTTTCACTGAGAAGCATAATTAAGTAGTGTTATGTTAGAATGACATTCAGCTACAATAAATGATACTCCCCGAGTGGTGAGTTATACAGTTGATTTCTCTGCCATGTGAAAAACATATGGAGATGGTCACTCCAAGAGTGAGATGGAAGCCTCCACACCACCAGGACCCATCCTGCTGTTAGATGTACTACCACAGTGTCCCCACAGTGTGGCCCTTGTGTTCTTGGCTAAGATGGCTGTGGGTAAGACCAGCATATCCCCATTTCAAGGTGTGGCGTGGAAGAGAGGATGACTTGAAGTTTACCATGCTTTGAGTAAATTGGAAGTCTCACCTGCCCCATGGCTTTCATCACAGTCACCTGAATACATTCCTCAGGATGCTGGGAACAGTTGATGGAAGTGAGGATGACACTGTGTCTGTCTGAAATTCCTTTTAATGTGAGATGGAGACTGAGAGCAGATCACTGTGGGTCAGGAGGAACAGCAAACTTAGACAGGCAGCTGCTTTTCTTTTGTAGGATATAAAGGAATAATGTCTAGTTATGTGGTCCCAAAAACCATGGTGCATTGGCTCCTGGGTAGAAGAGGCAACATGCACACCATCTTATTATGTGGTCCAAAGACCATGCATTGGCTCCTGGGTGGACAGAGGCAACATGCACACCATCTTATTATGTGGTCCAAAGACCATGCATTGGCTCCTGGGTGGACAGAGGCAACATGCACACCATCTTATTATGTGGTCCAAAGACTATGCATTGGCTCCTGGGTGGACAGAGGCAACATGCACACCATCTTATTATGTGGGTCCAAAGACCATGCATTGGCTCCTGGGTGGACAGAGGCAACATGCACACTGTCCTAGTTTGGTTTTGCTGTCATGATAAGTTCCATGATCCAAAGCAATTTGGGGAGAAAAGGGTTTTTTTCTGCTTACATCTTATAGCATGAAGGGAAGTAAGGGCAGGAACTTGAGGCAGGAGCCTGGAAGCAGAAACTGAAGTAGAGGCCACCGAGAAATGCTGCTTACTGGCTTGCTCCTCATGGCCTCCCCAGCTTGCTGTCTTATACAGTCCATGACCACCTGCCCAATGGTGGCACCTCCTACATCAATCATGCATCAAGATAATACCCTACAGGCCAGGCCAATCAGGTGGAGGCATTTCCTCAGTTGAAGTTCCCTAGCTTGTGTCAAGTTGACCAAACAAACAAACCATAACAAAAACTAACCAGCACACATACTTTACTTTGATAACCATCACTATTGGGTAGTAGGGAGTTACATTTTTTTACAATAATGTTTGGTCAGATCCATGATCATAGATGCTAACTGTGACAGTGAAGGATGCTTGTAAAGGACAGGAGTCATTCCTTAATAAATGTCTCACAATTCTGTTTTCTTAGACATTTTAGTTGGACGTACCAGCCTACAGGACATGGCATACACTCATTTATTGAAACTAAGTGTGAACTGTTGCTGTTAAAACTGGAGGTCCCAAGTTAGTTATACCTAATGCCAACCCATGATCCTGCTTCCTCTTACCAGGTCCTGCCTCTCTAAGGTTCTACCATTTCCAAACACAGAACCAAACCTGGAACACAGGGCCTTAGGGAGGCAGTTGCCACAGCTGTCGCGAACAAGAGGTAAGTGTCTTTCTACTTCGATTGAGGTCTCCCAGATTGCAGTCTGTGTTTTCTCAGATTCTATGACAATAAACTTCGCAACTATTTTGAACTTGATCTGATCTTATTTTTTTGACAGAACCTATTCAGTTTTCAGTCTATCTATTGGTATAATAAAAAATTTATTTCCCCCACTATCAATGAGAACTTACTTCCTTTGTCTGAAATCGATTTCTGCCAAGCTTCAGGAGACTCTTCCTCGAAGTACCCAGCATTGTGAACAGCAGTGAGTAGGACTTAGTGTCTAGTTTGTAGGGACAAGTCATGTCAAGCCCTGCTCTGAAACCTCACCGATGCTGGCTTGCTCTTGGCATTCTCCTTGCAAAGGAGGATGCATGCTTTGTTTAAAATGTCTCCTACCACTTCACTTTGACTCATGGCTTCTTCAGCCCCAGCCATGTTTCTTTCACCCGACCATGCCCCAATAACCTCAGAAACCAGTGGTCATAGCATAACCAGGGTGCATACACTTTTACGACTCGGCATTTACTAATTTTTCTTGTCTTGGCTCAATGGTAACTATGTGACATTCCATCTCCCTGGGCTTCGGTTAACTCGATTGTAAAATCAATGAGCTTGGACTTGATGATTTCCACAATCCCTTCCAGCCCAGGAAAAGTCAACAACCCTGAGACTGCACTGACATCTGAGCTGACAAAAATGTTTTGGGAAATTCCATCCTTCTAACCATATGGTAGTGAAGAGACAGTTCTGGTCCTAACAATGACACAAAGGCTCCACTTGTCCTTTGGGAATGGCTTCTGGCAGCCCAGTCATCCAGCCCCTTGTAGCCCAAAAGGCTTTACATTGTGCTGCCCACGAGTAAAAGGACTGAAGAGGTGGCTCAGTGGTGGAGAGCACTTCTTGCTCTTCCTGGTATTCTGAGTTTGAATCGCAGCACCCACGTGGGGTGGTTCACAAGCAACTATAACTAACTCTGAGGGACCCAACACCCTCTTCTGTCCTTCTTGAACACTTCGGCACGTGTGGCATACACATGGCACACACATGACACACACTCATGCCATCATACCTACACACATACATGAAAACTAAAGTAACTCTTTTTTTAAAAAAAATAATTGCTCTATGACTTGACTTATGTAGTCAATTCTCAACTAGCTAAACCAGGTTGGTTGAATGGCATGGGTAGCAATAACAATTAATTAAAAACCTCTCATATTTAAAGTCTGTGAGGCTGCACGTTCTCTGGAGCACTGATTTCTGCATAATGGTTTTTTTTCCTTCTATCTGAAAATTTACACTTTTACATTTTCCGATGGCCCACACTCTATCACATCACCCTATAGCTCATGCTGCAGGAAACTAACCAAGAAATAGTGAAGGGTAACTTCAAAGCAGATAATTGAAGCACACTTCTATTCACCACCTTTTAATCAAGAAGGATTTTGTAGTAGTTTATAAAAACTACATACCATATTGAATAATTGAGAATTTAGCATATTCCACTCAATCCAAGTCTCGTGCTGGGACGATTTAAAGACCCAGGTTAGTGTATATATCTTTGGGAAGTTTGCGACTCAATGAAGTAGAGTGTTACCATGCACAAAACTTTTGCAAATAAGAATAAGAGCTCCCCTGCCGCGTCAATAAATCAGCCCGGGTCCTGTGCAGAGGCCAACAACAGCTGACAGAATACAGGTTCCTGGAAATGCTTTATAAGTACCATCTAAGGAGCCAGATTGCGCTTTAACAGCCTTGTTATCCTAATGAAATCACCCTGCTTCCTCATCTTTGCTCCAGACACCACCAAGGTTGGGCAAAGAAAGCCCCATCTCCCCAAATGCCTCTAAACACCAAATTTGGATGACAGATTAATGATGAGATCTGCCTCCCCATTAATTTATTTGCAGGAGACACCTGTGCCAATAACCTCGTTAGGGTTTGGAGCGTGTCCCTAGAAAGGCATGCCTTTCCCCTCACCGAATTGGCTCCCCATAATTCTTAATTACTTTCTGTTGCCTGGTGGGGAAAAGGCACATGACATGGAAAATTTTATAGGATCTAATCATTAACCAACTCCATTCTTGAGTGGAGTTAGAGTATCCGAGAAAATGGTCTGTCTCAATCCCCCTAGCTACTTTCAAAATCATTGGCCAAAGGAATTTTCCACATGTATTTTCTGCTTGAGAGCCGTTCTGTCTAAGAGAACAGCAAAGGCTCTCAGAGCCCTTGCCTTGTGTCAGGTACTGTTCCAATTCCCATGTTCAGGATCAGTCCATCTCCCAACACTGCCATGTGATTGGTGTTCTCATTTTTCAGACGACACCAAGACACACGATGTCGCTTACCCAGGTCTCACAGCCAGGTGTCAAAGCCGGCTCATCTGACTACAGGCTTCTTAGGCCACAGTCTTCTTTCTATGGAAGAGAGACTATGCATGAGAGAGAAGAAGAAAAGACCCACTTTTGAGTTTAGCCTTCTTCATCTCGGGTAATTTGTCGAGACTATCAGGGTCATACTGGGAAGAGAGTCATTTAAAACCACAAAGCCAAAATGGTGAGTGGAGCAGCAAAAGATTCCGATTCTCTCACAGCAAGGGATGGGCACTCTGTGTATTTAGTTCTTGCCCTCCGGTCCTGTGATGGGCTGGGCTGTACAGTGGAGTAGTCTTCATGTCTAGAGGTTTACTCTCTCTCTCTCTCTCTCTCTCTCTCTCTCTCTGTGTGTGTGTTCAGGTACATGTGGGGCCATAGCATGCTTATACAGGTCAAAGGTCAATGTTCTGGGGTTGCTTC